TGTTTCGGGGAAAAGGCACACGCTGCACAATCGACGTTCACTATATATAATATACCGCGCGCGGGAGTAGTCGTCAACGTCGTCTGTACTGTATTACTCTCGCGTCTATATTAATAGTATACACGCCTGCACCTACCCCTGCAGCAACAGCAGCAGCAGCCACCTCGGTCAATGTTTACCTTTCGCATAGTTCAGGCTCATAATCGTTAACTTCTGTACCACAAAATGTGTCCAAGTTATGCCACCGAACTGAACACTCGCGCGGGTGTTGCTGCATTATTATACGCAGCGCGTTATAATGGGACTGCACAGCGGGTCGTTTAAGACCGGCGCTGAAAATATTTTCGCGAGTCATTATTGTTACGGCTTGTATGCTACACGATGCGGTCGTTCGCGTCCAGATCGGTTGAAGTTATTGTTATTTATTATATTTAATATGTCATCCTTGTGGAACGATGTCGACGGCTCAATCTTTTTACCATTTACAAATCGTGTTATATTATTCAAAACTAAAGTATCTTAATAGGTGACACTAGATACAGACCAAAAAAATGATACACTGTCATGTACGAACTAATCGCTCTTATATGCTCCAAATCTTTTTGGTACGGAACAATCAACGCGCGTTCGTTTACGCTGTAATATATTATCTAATTCTTCAACTACGAGAAATCAGCCTCGTGCGCTAGCTCCTTACTCCTACTGTATTATATTGCACAGTGAAGACGTAAAATGTATGAATTATATAGAGGCGCGTATATTGCTCGTAAATCACGCGCGCATTTCTCTCTGTCGCTCTCTTTTCTTCGTCGTCGTCGAAGTCTGCGTCGACGTCGCTCGTTTATATTTTCCTCGAAAAAGAAGAGATGCTGTAGTATGGCGGGCGCGCGCAAATTGCCAATAACGCAGCTCAAGCCATGCGTTTTATATACGCTGACGCGCTCGTGTATACCCGCGCGTGTACGATATGTATCGCGCCATCCCTCGCGATTACCGAGCGATTCCGCTTCGCAGTATATATAATATGGGTTCGCGTCGAGACGTACCCGTATGCGTACACGTTATTTTATATCTGTGTACATTGAAAACAATGGCCAATAAAGAAAAAAACAAACCAAATGAAGCAGCGAGAGAAGAGAGACATTCTTGCAGAGTATATAAATTGTCCTTCTCCTTTCTGTCCCCTCCACCAAAAACTTCAGTTCACGCAGTGCAGTACTGCTTTATACGTATAGCTCGAGCTTTTTTCCGCGCTCGCTATAAGTGCATGCACGCCGTGTAGTGCGCTGCCGAGTGTATATACCCCATATGCAGCGCGCACAGAAGTCATACAACGGGCTACGATCGGGCGCGCGTGCGATGATGTGCGAATAAGCAATCGGACATAAAGCAACTATATACTTAAGCATCAGTCATCGAGTGGCAGGCCGGATGTAAAGACATGCGCCGCTGCTGCTTTTGCTCGCGACCGACCGACTCTTATATCGATCTCAATTGATACAGAGTATACTTGTGAGCGCACGCGAGAGACTGAGTGCGATTGGACTGTGACATATATTTTTTTTTGTGTGTCGCTTCGAGTTGCGAGATAATCTGCGCGCGAAAGAGAGATATGTTTCATGAGAATGTGCGTGTGAATTATTGTGCTCGCCATACGTGTATCATATGATGGATCAAGATAGCGCGAACGCCGTCGTCGAAATGGAAGAGTCGCCTCAGGAAATTACCCTGGCTCGACCTAACTTTCTCGATCTATCTGGAAATTGTCCACGTAAGTTTTATGACGTTTAAGAGCATTATGCAAAATTGCTGTCAAAATTACAACGATTACTTCGATTTAGCAAAAAATTTAATCAACTAATTTTTTGGTCAAAATCGGTTTCTTTTACCGATCTCATAACGATTAAGAGAATGGTTTTCAGAAGAAAATCGCAAAAAAGGCGTCTTCTCGGTTGCGAGACTGGAACGATATATCCTCGGCATTATAGATTGTCAATAATACAATCACGAGAGGAAGAAGCGATCGGTTATAATATATACTCGATTTGTTTCCAGTACGTCCGTATTGGATGCGCTGTACGTTCATATATATTAAACACACCGCACGAGTGTGCAGGCGTCGATAGGCACGCGTATCGAATGCATTATCATCTCTCTCTTTCTCTCTCTCTCTCTCTCGTGCGTAAGTTGGCTTTTTCCGTATGCAGAAGATGCCCCGCGTATATAGCTCCTACATAAACGGCGCGTATGCATTTGTGCTGATTAAAATTACGTGATTCGCCTTGCGTATAATATTATAAGTGCAGTAACTGCACAGCAACAGCATACTTGCTTGCTTAGAACAAAACGGAAATTCGGATGTCTACGCATGCGTTCGTGTATAGGTACATCGTACACGTATCGAGAGATTTCGTATTCTTTGTGGTTTTCGGTATGAGTTTGTGTACATGTGCGAATAATAGATGTCAACCCCATACTATATAACGTGTCGTGCGCGGTCTATTTCTTTGAAGATTATTTTTAGGATTTATTTTACACTGGATCGCGAGGGTGCGGATTAATGATTGCTTTATGAGTACGGTACAGCTCGTCACGCATCGCAATGTGCGAAATTAAACTGTTATTTGTTTCAAAGTTTCATGATCGCACCTCGAAAAAAGCAAATGACAAAGTTCGATTTGTAATTATATAAAAAATGTCATTTTGCCTGGTATAAATTTTTAACATTAATAATAGCTTGAAGACCAAAAACTGTCAATTTAAAATGTTTTAACATTACTCGTAGTTAGCTTGTTCTTAGCAACTTTTATGTTCGATCGTGTTTATACAAATATTAAACGTATTACCTAAAAAATGACAATTCAATCATATCAAAACATTCAACCTTTAGAGGACCGGAAAGCCAATATTGACACTTTGTCTATGATCGATCAACGATTTAAGATACCTTTCATGCCAGTTTTTTATTAATGATATTAGGACCTCTGAAATCCTGGCCCTGTAGAAGTTAAACCAGTTTTAAAGCTCGTTAAATGCGATAATTTTCCTCTTCGAAATTCTTCCACTAGATGGCGAGTATCTGTTTATTTGTAAATCTGCAAGTGGCAAAATAGAATTAATGATACTTATGATGTTCCTTCCCATCTTCTATTACTAGCCTGAATCCTTTGTAATTATGCCAACCACATCTGAAATATACGTATTAATATAATACTATGCAATATTATTATTAGGAGTTGTACTAAGCATACGTAATATGGAATGGTGTAAAAACTATCGGGCTGTGACGAGGAACATCTTCATAATTTTCGATTTCTTACAACTGACTGTCAGTAGTTCATACCAATTCATAATCGTTTCCTGTCGTATTCATGGTTTTGTAGTTATTGATCAGCAATGGCGTGCAAATTTAAGTCAATAGAACACAAATCCATCCCTCGTCCTCGAAGAATCGGAAGGAATTGTTCACGATAATTGGAACAAAATTGTTCCAATTGTATTTATATAATATCGTGCGTAACGTACAATAGCATCCTAACGATCTTCTAGAAATTTTCAACTGTAATCTCATAGGCAGTCAAACTTGAGGCACGTATAGATCTGCGAGTTGGAGAAAAGACGGAGCTACATCGCAAGCGCCGGATATATTCGTTCGCGTATACGTACGTATCCGCGGAAATACACGTTCTAAACGCGAGGGTACAGCGCCCACAGAAGTATATATATTACAGTTAAATAAACCACCGTGAGATTAAGCTCGTGTACGTGACGATGCACACACACAGTCATGCGTGACTTTATAAATTTTATAAATATAGACAAACGATCTTCGCGGCACGAGATGAGTTTGGATTATGAATTTACGCAGCTTATACGTATATGTATACGCAACCGAATATATCTGGAAAAAATCACGTTGAATCGTCGTGTGCGCGCGGACGGAAAGGAAGAAAAAATACGACGAAGATAATAAAATATCCTGACACGCGCTCGCCTCGCGCGAAAGCTCGTACGCGGTGTTTTACGATCGGCAGGCCCCTGTGTGTGTGTATGTGTGTGTGTGTGTGTGAGTGCGTAGAGCCCCCGTGTACGTGCATACACGACTGTGCACAGAAGCTAAACCTGCGAAAGGAGATATTTATAGACAAAGTCATATATTTTTGTACCGTATGCATGGCGAGTGTGATCGGACAGCAGGGGAAACTGCTGCCGAATGCGTATTAAACATCGCCCAGTGGACATTATAACGCGAACTCGTCGAGCTTTTTTACAGCCATAAAAGCGTCGAGATTGCCCTACTCGTGTACGTCATGCGCCTCGCGCTACTCCAAGTTTCGTATTATATGAAAATTGAATTGTCGATCGACAGTCGATGCCGTCGCGTATATCTATATCGTCTATGTGCGAAGCCATTAAAATCGCCAAGTGCCAACTACGTACATCTATTTATCTACGGCGAGTACGAGTCAACGTGAGAGCTTTTATATACGCAGCGAATCTATTCGATATGTACACACACACACAAACACACATACATACAAAGTCCGTCTGTGCTATATTACGTAGGTGCTGTACACACAGGTGCGCGAGGAAAGTCCATTACGTCGATTGAATCGACTTTGCAGATACATAAAGTAGCGCGAAAGGACGTACTTGTGAGCTTTTGGCCTGAATTATTCTGGTCTGCACGCGGTGGTAGTGGTCGAGCGCGCGAGATCGTGTCGCCAAGCAGTTACACATCGTCGCGTATCTTTACGCATCATTTTTCATGCTTGTAAAATAGTACGAGTAAACATTAATGGGTGTGTCGTTGCAAAGCACGAGATCTCGATGAACGAATCGCAGGTGTATACGTATTTTATGTAACTATGTCAAAGGATCGACGACGAGTACAATGTATACTCTAATATATTAATGAAAAAATGAGACGAGATACTACTAAAAAATTTGGTCGATGATCGTATTAAAAAATTATATGATTTGTGTATGCTCGTCTACAGGCACGAGACATCATCACAACGCAACGTCGAACCACGGAAATGCCAACGCTAGATCCCAATATGCGTCCGACAACAATAGCTCCACGAGCAACAATAATACCAATAACAACAACAATAGCAGCGGCAACAGCAGCATGGATGGACGAGACGACGTGGTCTTCGTCTCGTGCAAGGACAACGAGGCCGCGGCACTCTGGGTGAATTACCTCACGGCCTGCTTCGAGCAGATAAGTCGCCAGCAAGGCAGGCCACCCTTTAGGTACGTATAGCTTTGCGATATATCTCCTGTTACATGAATCAATTCTCGATATTGCATTGACTGCAAATCCTATTTCTCGAGTACTCAGTATAAATGTTGATTATGTGATTTAGGTAAATACAACAAAAGATACATCTCATAAATAACCATAATTTAACGTTGAAAATCCTGATAAACACTGCTCGATATCAATAATGGCCTAGTTGAACAAAAAGTGCAGACTTATGTTATAATTATTGGGTGCATTTTAAATGACCTAAAAAATTTAATTTCAAAAAATATAGATCAGTTTTCACGAATAAAATAGCGGTACTTGGAAGGTTTTCCTCTATCTTATCAATTGATAAAAATCATAAAAATCTCACTTTTAATCGTCAATGTTTCGTCGAATAATTCATACAGTTTAAGTGTCTTGTATCAGAGTACACAAAAGACAATTTTCAATCGCGGTAAGTAAGATCCCACCACTTCAAGCATCCACCACTAGGTGGCGTGAACCTTTATCTGTAAATCTGCAAGTAGGAAAGTCAGAATAATTGTATAAGTCAAAGAATCATCACGTTTAATTGTCGAATAGTACTTCACGCCTTTTTCACATGTATTTTTGTGCTTGAATTGTTAGATTATTCCAAGTGTCGCTGGAGGACACGCTGACGCCGAACGTCGAGCTACGCATCCGCGCCTCGCGCCTCCAGATCATCATCGTCTGCCCGGTGATGATGGAGCGCGTCGCAGAGCGCCAGGATCAGACCCAGCAGATCACGCGCCAGTTCAGCTCGGAGCGCGTGCTCGCGATGATGCTGGGCGTGCAGGACGCCGGCCTGCAGGCCAGTCACCGGGCGGCCTTCGTGGCCTATCCCACCTGGCGCAAGTTCTTCGCCAAGGACCAGGACGAGGGCTTCGTCGGCCAGTTCTTCGGCGCGGCCGTGGCCATACTCGGTAACGGCGCCGCGGCCGCCAACGCCAACGGCCCGGGCAAGCAGGAGAAGATTGGATTCTCCGTTCACCCGAAGAAAGTCAAATTGGTAATTTACTTATATAATTATTATACTCATGCCTGTATTCTTAGTTTTGAATTTATTATTCACAAAACCACGATAAATATTATTTCGACAGGGTCAAAATCGCATACTGGCCCTGCTGAACGAGCCGCTGCACCCGGACGACACCGTGACGGTGCTGGTCGATCGCTGCGGCGAGGCCCTCGAGGTGAGCCACGTGAAGCGTCGCAATCCGTACACGCTGCAGTTCTCCATACCGGAGCGCTGCCTCGACGTGTCGATGCTCGTCGGCGTGCGCATCTCGCGCAACGGCGCGCCCCTCGGCCTGCGACAGATCAAGTGCGAGAGCCGACTGCGCGAGCTCGATCAGATACTGCGTGCCCACGACAATCCCCTGGAATTCATGTGTCAGGTGAGACAAATTGAAACTTTACGCGAGACGTTTGTAGAACAGAGGGAAATGATTGTTTCACGATAATAAATCGTTTGTATATTCGATCGACAGACCTTCGGCTTCAATCCGAGCGACAAAGAGCAGCTGGATAATTGGATGGTTCACGCCTTTCAAAAGAACGTGCCCCCGCACTTCAATCTGCTGTCCAATCCACCGGGCGAGATGACTCCCGTCAAGAATCATGCCAGTGAGTACAGAGCATTAGCGTCTTATAAATCGAATGCGATGATATCATCTTCTTCTTTTTTTCCATCATTCTTGGCATGTCGCTGTAATTGCAGGCTCCGAGGACAACCCCACGCTGCTGCACTTTAGCGCGAGATTCGGCCTCGAAAAGTTGGCCTGGCAGTTGCTCGAGTGCCCGGGCGCCGATCTGGCCTGCGAGATGCGCAATGTGAACGATCTCACGCCCGCCGAACTGGCCGAGCAGTCGGGTCACGCCAGACTGGCCAATCAGCTACGCGGTTATATGGTAATTATATCGAGTCCATCTGTACATAATACTGACATATGCGTCGTCTCGCACATTATACTGTATCTCGAAACGCTACTTATTTCCAGCAAATGAACGAATTCACCAACATGTATAGCTACTTGAAGATCATGAGCGAAGGCGACGCTGCGACCAACGGCAACAGCAGCGAGTGTCGCCGGCCGATGAACGAATTTTTAGCGGCTCAGGATCGTCATCTTCGCGCCCGTAACGCCAAACCGTCGTCGTCATCACCCATGAACCAGCATCGACAGCTCAAGCATCAACGAAGCGAGGAACATCATCAGCTGGATTCGCGCGAGACGAGTCTCAGCCGACAGGAGGACTACTGCATGCCGCGGCCGCTGAGCGAGGCCTACTCCGTGCCACCGGCGGCTCGACCCGTCACTCGACACTTCCCCGATTACGCGACACCCCCGCCCCTGCCCCAGCCTAATAGCGTCAACAGCAATAACAACAACAAAGCGTCGTCGGCGTCGTTGTCGTCGTCGTCGAGCGTGAACAATTACGGCTCGAATCTGACCATCGATGGCTCGAACGCGGAGCAACAACACAACTCCATACAAGGTTACGTGCAGATGAATCCTGCAGGTTTGCCACGACCCCCCATTTTACACACGAAGATGTAACGGCTTTTTAGAGATTGCGCTCGCTACATAGATTATTGTCATACGTCTCGTGTGACATTCTATCATAATCATGTTGCATGAAACATTTCTATAATCATTGCATGTCCATGAGCCCAGCCGATTATGCTTTTTGAACGCCATTTAGTACTCACCATTATTTTTTTTTATCATTCGAGGAACCAAATGCTACACACGAAATATTGCATGCTTTCCTTTAACTGAATTAGCGAAATAAGAAATTTTAATTATTACAATTGTACTATTGTGACTAAAATAATGATCTCATTAATTTTAAGATTCAACAAGATATGTAAATATAACAATTATTTATTAGGACAACATTTTTTAATTAGTATTTTTTAATTATTTTATAATTTTTTTTGTTTTTTTTTTATTTTCAATAAACGATTAAACATTAATTTGCATGATTCTTTTTTTTTACCATATAAATTTTCATTCGCCTGCTTATTTTGTTATCAATCGTCCATGTAACTTCCAGTTAAACCCGTAACAACCCGGAAGCTTACTTTCCTCGAATAATGAAATGATACTCCGACTTAAAATTCACGACTCAAATTTCATCCCGTATAGGTTCGTTCCGGTCGCCCGACTCGGCAACTTCCACACCGACCACGTTAACGTCGTCTCCGCTAAACGGCGACGCGGCATCGTCGTCTTTCCATCACAATCATCATCATCATAATCATCATCGCCTCGACAGCGACCAAACGAGCACGAGATCGAGCCTCGCGCGATCGTCGAGCAGCACCAGCAGCGCAGGTCTCAGCAAGTCGCGCGACAGTCCCCAGGATGAGCTGCTCGAGATAATCACGGACTTCAAGAACAACGTGTTCACCATCGCCGAGGTCGAGCGCCTCGTGGAGAACTGGAAGAATCGCAACGACGTACAGCAGAGCTTTAAGGACAAGCAGAGGCAGCTCGCGGCGATGAGGGACGAGTACGAGCGTATACAGAAGCGCATGAAGGACGATCTGAAGATGCCCACGCCCTTCGATCGCATTCGTAAGTTCTTCACGAAAGGACACAAAAAAGGTATAAACAAAAAAGTTTCAAGTAAATTTTCAAAGCAATTGATGGGGAAGAAATTATGATTATATTGGTTTTTCTTTGTGCTTCAGATTCCAAAGACTCAACCGCGACAGCTTCGAGCGAGGAAGCAAGCCCAAGTAAGCCGAACGAGAGTAACGGCAACAACGTCAACGGCAACAATTTAGCCGATCGACGACCCGTTAGCAGTCTCAGTCTGCATAGCGTGTCGAGTGAGTAGAATAATTTATCGAACGGACGATTGTCATATTCACAAACGTTTAATGTGTAAATCTGTTTCAGGCTCATCATCGTCCGGTCGTATGAGCACTGTTAGCGGTTGCAGCGGAGCCAGCCTCGGTGACAGTGGCACACACTCCGACACGGACGAACGACGGGTGAGCTTGCAGCCTGTAAAATCTTTTTTTTATCACGCTTAATATCGTAATAACGTGAATTCTTTTTTGCAACGTCTAAAAATTATATAGTTGCAACACGCGAACGGCGACGATAAAGCCTCCTCAGCGGGTATGACGAATTACGAGATACCTCCGGCTCCGAAGCCGTACAATGGTCGTCCTCATTCGAGACTGACGTCGACGCCGAGCCGAAGCGTCGTCGTGGCCGGCGGCGAACTCGACGTGCGCCCGGTCAAGTCCTCGGTGCCCGCCATGGACGACAAAGAGTATTACATTGCCTTTCCGCCTTCGGGACTGCCCGTTCACTGTGAGTTATATTTACTTTTGATTTCATAATAATCCACAATTGTTATCGCATCCCATAAACTAATTGTAACAATTAAATTTCAGCATTCAAGCCTAACGTAAGCTCAGCCGAAGAACCAAGGACACCGAATTGCACTCCGGTGGACAGCGTCGACACGGTCGACGGTCCCATGACGGGTTGCCATCCCATGACCATGAATTACGCGAATCTCGGTCCGATCTGCAGTCCACCCCCGGGTATGTGCGTTCCTCCCTTCGAGTACGTCAACGTGTCGCTGCCCGGGGCGTCGAATACCATCTGGGAGAAGCCGAGCCAACAGCAGCATCAGCCAAATATACTGACGATTCAACCGGAGATCCATCCGGAACCGTCGAACCTGTCCAACATCGAGGAGATGAGCAACGACGAAAACGAGAACGTCGCCGAGGACTCGTCACCGCCGCCTCTGCCTGACAGTCCGAAGATTCTCAATACGGATAATAATGATGCCGTGGGCAACGTCGACGCTGAGCAGCAACAAGATGCGCGCATCGACGGGACCACGAGCGCGGAACCGAGCACCAGCAGTGGAGTCGCGGCATCCGAAGAAATCGCCAAAAACTTCGGCGTGACGCTGAAAAAGTCGGGCCCTCCCGTGCCACCGAGGAGCGAGTTTACCTTCATCACGACGGTGCTCGAGTCGAAAGACGAATAACATTAATTAATTCGCGTGTTACAAATCAAAGTCAGTTGGCAAAGGATCATCGAATAATGACGCACGATACTTTTATCGCGTCGATAAATTATTTGATATTATTTGACTAAAGTATAAGTAGATTCAGCTTTAATACAGGTGATATTGCGTATATATTATTATGATAAAATATATTATATGAATCTTTAGAACTATGTTGGAGAAAAAATTGAAAAGGTTTCGAGTTTGGAAAATTTTATGATCCATAAGTCTAAAAAGTTATTAAATGAGTGCCTTGGAAAAGTGCATTATTGTAAAATTATACATTGCGTGTAATCAATTTATTCTTTAAGAAAATCTTGTTTGTATTTTTATATGCGTTTGTTTGTATCAAATTATTGAAGTGAAATATTATAATGTTTGTACGTGTCGATATTTAGATTTTAAAACGTGTTTATTCTCATAATACTCACAGCTTACTCTTACTCCTTTTATTGCGATGGCAGTGGGTTTTATCCATTCTGTAAAACGATGCAGCTTATTAGAATCTTTTGATGAATGTTCACATAATCACATCATTTATGAATATAAATAATATATTATTAAGAGATAATAAATTGAAATTAAAAATTAGTTTTTAATGACATTATCTTTGATTTATAAAACCTTTGTACTGGCTCTAGAGATGAAAAGTTGGGAGATTTGTGGATTTCAACATTACTAGTACTCGTTAAGGACAGATCGAATAATGTACGGTGATGAATGCTTTTTCAAAACCTGCTATTGACTTATATAAATAATTATATTTATTTTACCACTTGAAGATTTCGAGACAAAGGTACTCGCCATCTATTGTTGGAGGTTGAAAATGGTATTATCGAATTTAAAGCTGTTGTAAACTGGTCTAAATTTGTAGAAACAATAAAATTGTCATTGCTGGGTCATTCAAAATGCACTTAACATTTTTAACATTATTGAAAAATTGCCAAAAAAGCCATTGAAGGTAATGTATTTTAAACAATTTTAAATGGTCATATTTTGATTATCAGGACATTTAGACTAAGCATTTCACATCAGCAATTCTACTAAAAACGATTTCATGAAAAACCATAATCCCGAGTTTTTTTTTATTCCATTTATAACATTTTTTTTTTTTATCAAACCAACATATTTCATATTTTTAACCTCATAAATTATCCTTATAGCTGTTACTATTATTTTCAATAAAGTCCATAAAATATTTCGCAACATAAGTATCCAAGTGACCGTGAATAATCACTCGAAAAATCACCCATACATCTGTACAGCGAGGGCCGAGGTATGTTGCAAGCTCTCGCGCATGCGTCAACCCTCCTATCGGCTATCATCTGGAAAGAAACGAAGAGCAGTATATATCCAGCAGCACAAACTATACACACACACACACACACACACACACGACAAGCGTAGGGGTGTAGGAATAATCGATAAGCTATTTGTATGCGCAGACGCCGCCGTCGCCGCCACCGCCACCACCGGTGTCGCTCGTGTGACGTGCTTATTTTTTTCTTTTACATAGCCCTGTCAGTTGTCACGCGCATATACACACACAGTAAAACACACACCTGCGAGTTGTATTATTGCGTCTCTTCTTTCTTAAACAATGTATTAAAAATTCGTTGTTAGACTGGATAATTGAAGGTGGTGTTTTCATCAAATTTATCGTCATAATGTCGAGTCTTTGTTCGACGTCGAGACGTAAACTGGCATGGGTTATCATAAACATCGACAATTACGTTCGAAGTTTTGGATAAGGAAATACAACGCAGCTTTGTTTTGAAGTAAGGTACGCGTTTTTATAGTACAATTTTTTACTTAAACAGTTAGAATTGCATATTTTAAGTTTGATTAACTTTTCACATTCACTTTATATTTCCTAAAATATTTGTCAAAGCAATAAGAATCAATAGTTTTTAAAGGCATCATACATAATAAGATTTCCGAGTGAATTAAGCCTTTTGATTTTATCGAGTATGTAATATCAAAGCGTATATCAATTGAAAATAAAAATAGTAAACCCACTGATCAATAAAAGGAAATTTTGGCAAATCATCTAATCAATATTGATGGGATGAGATAAAAACTTTGCACAGCATATGGGACTATTTCTACATTCTTGTTTCAATACATTTCAATACTCATTAAACTGGTTACTTTTTTAGACAAAATTTTGTTCTCGTTAAAAAAACGAAAAAGAACAGATAAGAAATGGACGGACCTAATTTGGGTTACTCTTACCACTCGCCATCCGTTGGTTGGAGCTTGAGGATACGCAACGCGTTGTCACAGTTCAGTGATTTGTTCAGCGAGTTCAATAAATACATCGCACCAGCTTATCATCACGATCGTTGTGAAAGGTAAGGTTTTTTATTTAAATTTCCAAGTCCAATAATTACGTTACATTTTTTGTTTTTTGTTCTCAATAGATCCGTCAACATGCGACTATACTCCATGCACAAACGAGAATTCGTTATGATTATAGTCGCATTTTTTGCATGCTTTTGTTTGGCAGTTTTTATTGGTCTCGCAGGTAAGAATTTCATGATTTGACGACCGAGAAAAATTAGAACTTTATCGAAAAATAAATTAAAAAAATAATTTTTAGGACCTCCTATAACAGTAACAATTCCACAACAAGCACATTTGAACGCCAGTGAAATGGCTACTGGTCCTTTTATCATGAATACACCGCCTTTATCGTACTACAGTCAGCAACTTTGGGTGATAGCAAAGCTAACGACTCAAAATACAGATGGTAATTATAAACATCGATGAAACATTTTAAGGCCAGAATTAACTACGATAAAACTCGTTAAAACGCATCGAAATTGTTATTACAGACGAGATATACGACAAAAGTTTTACAGTTAGCGTCGTGATAGACGGGCTTACGCTCGACAATAAACTGGAACACGTTCTCAAGCCTGAAAGTAGCCACAATAGGTAATTAATATTGCTATAAAATTCTCTGAATTTTTCACGACATTTTATAAACATTTTATAACGAATATAAACAATGATGATTTCCAGAACGAGACATTTAAAATGCGAACGACAGAATTGCGAGGAAATAGTCGTGGCGCATCTCGGATATTTGGATTACAGTCATTACATGATAACCGTCCGATTTTATGGACTCGAGAGCTTCCATCGACGATACACAATTCGAGACATTACATTCTACGTCAGTAAGCAATTATTGTGCACAAAAAATGAGATGTTTTTAGATCGATGTATTTTCAATTCGGTCCTATTATTCGATTTTCAGTTTAAGCACTTCAATCCAGCCTTTACGCAATTAGAGATATGGTTCAGATTGGTATTTTTATTCTTCACCTTCATCGTGATGGTAAGAACTTAATTTTTATTGTTTATTTACGTAACTCATCAGACGCTAATGTATATGATTTGACAGTGCTGGTTTGGAATAACGCTCAGAAATTACCCCATCAACGACTGGTCCATCGAACAAAAATGGGTCTCGGTCCTATTACCTTTGTTGATACTGTACAATAGTGCGTATGAAATGATCTATTAATCTTGCCCAATAATTCCAGAAATTAGTAATTAATACATAAATTTGATCGATCCAGATCCACTATTTCCAACGACGTTTTTGATAAACTCTTGGTTGCCAGGTATGATAGACGCTTGCTTCCAAACCACTTTCTTATGTGCCATATTGATGTGTTGGCTGTGCATTTATCACGGCTTGAGACAAGTAATACATCTTTATATCGATAAAATAGCAATATTTAAGCTTTTCTAATATTCTTATTCAATGTAAAAATTAATTATTGCAGAACGAAAGACGATTATTGACGTTTTATTTGCCAAAAATACTCGTCGTCGGATCTTTGTGGGGAGCTTCCCTGGTACTTGCCACTTGGTTGAGATGGTCCGAACTGGAAGATCCAACCTTCAATTACGTTCTCGACACGTCTAATTATTACGTGAGTATTTCTTAAATGTTGCTTTCATCAACTTTAATTTTATATTTGTGGCGATTTGTGTAATTTCATGGTAATCGATTTTTAATATTTACAGGGATTCAAAGTTTTCTTCTTTACCGTCGGTGGAGTGTACATAGGATATTTATTGTTATTAATATTGCGGTCATACAGTGAATTACGATCGATGCCATTTTTCGGTAAGCTTCATTGTATAAACCAAAAATTAAAATTATTTTTCATTTTGTTGTTTTTTTGTTTCTTTAATGATTAAAAACGATCATTACCCAATTGATTTTTTATGCTCTAATAGATTTACGGCTGAGATTTCTGTCACTATTTGCCACAATCGTCGTAACTGTTGTAACGATAGTGACGATTCGTCAATTCGGCGCCGGAGTTTTGGAAGACAGTTTCGCTGGGCGACTATCCACTCATTATAGGACATCAGCGCAATTTATGGCTCTCTATGGCCTTTTTAATTTTTACCTCTACATAATGGCATACGTTTACTCGCCCGCGTCTCAACAAGTTTTTGGCCAACGTAAGTCATAGCTATACTTTCATATATGAGCGATACTTAATTTTTTTCTTTTGACAACAATTTTTTTCACCAATTTTAATAGTGGACACGACGATTACTAAAGATAATCCGTCGTTTTCGATGATCAATGAGTCTGACGAGGAGATAATTTATGGTTCCGACGACGACAGCCGACGACCCTTGACGCGGACCCCGCGCAACACCGACGACAGCGATTAAAGGGAAAAACTATGAAGATACGATTTGCTGATCTAATTGTTTTATAAAATAAGATTATGTGTGTATAAGTGAAAAATTGATTTTGTACAGGTGGTCTAATAATATATATAAAGTTGTTTCAAAAAATATTTGTAAATATCTTTATTATTCGTATCATTATGAGTCAAAATTCGTAATCAATAAAATGCGCGTCCTATACAAGTCTCTGTGATGTAGCGTACAAACGAACGGGCAAAGACGAGTATCAAAAATTGAAATAACTGTAACACCCGTAAAGCGAATTATCTCTCCTCTAATCAACTTCTTAGAGAAAAAATTGCAAAATAAAAAGAAAGAGAATATTATACGTCCCAAAAATCATCCTCAAAGCTGATTAAATGGTTCTCTTATCCGGTGCAGAGTAAATCATTGTCGATTCGCGAAGATTCAAGACAAAGTTCGAGACGAGTTATTGAAATGAATCTCATCAGATTTTATAAGAAACGTTAAAGCAAATTAAGAAAAATACGTATGTTTTCAATTATTTTCATCTCGCATTTTCGAGCTAATGAAGGCAGATTTTTGCAAAACTTCAACCCTTTCAATCACGTTCAACCTTTTTTGAACCAATTGAAAATTACATATCGATGCACAACATGTACAGACATTCACGAAGATGTCTGAGTATGCTTTCATATAATTTTTGTTTTATACTTTGCCGGCTAGGTGCTACCGCACCTCTTGATATGCCGCAAGTATATTTGCTTCTATGGTATATCCCTAATATGGACGCAAGGAAGCGAGCACTGTCAAGGCCACGATCTGACAGGTCACATAAAATGACGAGTTTATGAGGCTAGTCCAAGAAAAAAGCGAGAGAATAAACGAAAATTAAAAGTTAGAGTGACGTGTACCATACACTCTGAAATGCGCACAAGAATTTCACTCCCTCTGCTGTACAGAAAGGGGATATCTGCAAAAAGGCTGGTCCAAAAATCAGTATAAGTACAGGCCAAAAATGAGCATCGAGGCAGATCTGATCATTCCTTCGTGTAAGACAAAACTATCGTCATTAACGGAGTGATGAAGCGATTCGTGCCAAATTAAAGCGTGAACTTAAAAAATAAATATTTTCAACCTACAAGTTCTCGTTACAAGTTCCTACATCTAACTGCAAAGTTGACCCCAACACCGATATCCTAGTCGAGTAGCAGCTTTTGCTGAACCTTCAACATACACCGCAGTGCAACATCGTCGTCACGTAACAGCTGCAACGAGCTCGACCCCATCGGCTCAACGACAACATCACCGTCACGAAAAGTACCCGTGCGACGCGACTCGTTACAGGAAAAAGTGCTACTCATCTAATCACGCTTACAAATAACTCGCAGTAAAACTCCACAGGTATTTCTTTTTCTTTTAGTTTATTTACCTTCTTACAGCATTCAACTTGATCCGTCTTAATTCATACGATCGGCCCTAAATAAAAAAAGGCAAATGGCTCTTTACTTGGATTTTAGAATTGCTCCTATCGTAATTCTTCCCACATCTATCAACCGTATTGATTACTTAAAATTAACTAAAATTCGCATTAATACAGTATCAAGAAAATTTTCATACGAATCCAAATTCGTTGTCGAATGATTATGCAAAAATATTTTGTATGACATTCAGTTCCATGTAAGAGCTTCTCGTTTCTTCTTAATGACGATCGTTTCCGACAGCTGCGGATCCCAAAGTTCTTGTAAGGTTTTCGCATCATCGGATCAGCTTTTCGACAAATTTCGTAGCTGTATCTGAAAGTATCGCGACGAAAATCGTACCGCTGACAAATACAGTGTGCAATGTACGTACATGATTGTAAATTCAACGTGTAATATTTTTAATAATTTCTTTCTAATTCAATAAAATTATAGACTTTATTTTTAAGCGAAAAAAAATCGAACTTTAACAATTCACGTTTGTGAACGCTTACGATATGGGCATAACTACGCACATACAGGCTAAACGATCGTCGAGTAAACGAAAAATAAATTACGATTTAAAGGGCAAAGAAGAGACGAGCGCGATCGAGTGATTATTGCGTCGTTGAACTCGGAACTGAAATGCGGAACAGATAATATGATCTTATCTGTGATAAGTACATGTACTCAAAACAATCTTAAATAGAATAAGAAAAGACATTTGACAAACTTGTCCATATATGGGCATAGTCAATGTATACGTCCTGTATATCGATGTATGTATACAAAAACTCGCGATACCAACACAGTAGCAACAACAGCAGCAGCAGCAGCAGTAGCAGCATTAAAGGCATCATCGAATACCCACACAGATACACACCTATGTAACACTCGTATAAACAAATCGACGCGGATCTCTCTCCTCCCATCGATGCGAGGGAGAAAGAACATAACACAAGTAGTTTGGCGCTCGGTCGCTCCGAGCGGAGATGTATAGTCGCGGGACGCTCGGCGCTCGCCGTTATATAGTTAGTTTAGTCGCTGACAGTTTTTCCCCGCGGCAAGTGTCTTACGTCCGTGTGAGAGCGCGCGGTCAGTGTGAACCTGTCGAGACACGCCTGCTGCTACCGTCTATATATAGTAATATAGTATTTATTATATTGGCGTTCGGAGCAAAACGAGACGAGCCCCAAAACAGTCATCATCGATCATCAGTATACATCAAGGTGTATCGTAGTGAGCAGCTACCGGCGCTCCGATCAGTTTTTACCTTTTTCTCCGAGGGCCAAATGGCTGTTGATAGTACCGATATCGAAGATTACCGACGTTTCTTCATCAACATTAGCGCCTCGACCACAGCGAGATCCAAGATCTTTCAAAGTTCGCCGTAGCTGCGTCGTCGTAGTTGCTTGCTACCGCTGCTCCGAAACTACAATTGCATCGCGAGTACGTAGTACAACGTGGTGTTTACCTTTGTGCGAGTGCGTGACCCTGCAGGTTACATCGTCGTCGTCGTCGTCCTCGCGCGAACATCCTTCGAGCCAAATCTCGATCAATGATGCCTAAGAGAAAAATACAGCAGGTTAGTGGTGTATGTCGTTGTGATTGATGGTGCGTTCGAATTTTCAAAAAAAATTGACCGTTGCCGTTTGCGAGTGTTTATGTGTATATGTATGCGTGTGGGGGTCAACGCGTGCTACACGGCGTCGCCGCCCGCTACAGACATCGAACTGTTTTGTTTGTGTACGCGTACGTATTTCAATGTTTTTGTGTAATGTAATGTACGTCATATTGAAAAAGTGAAATAATTACAGCTAATGTAAACTGAATGAATCGTATACGTTGCGTCGCATTAAGTTCATAACGGTTCTCGAGACGGCTTTGTTTTGGCACACATTTGTATTATACCTGCACGAAAAGGACGATTTAGTTGCTCTAATTTTTAGTTGACTTACTCCATTTTGTACGCCATCAGTATTATAAAGACATCGTTTCGATTAAACACTACACTCTGATATTCGCGAATCGATTAACGATTCGAACGAGTTCCGAACACGCGTTCGATTCGCGTTAACGTATTTCTCGGTAAAACACTTCTCGCGCGCTGCATCTGACTTCGACAACGTGAATCCCGTGGTATAACGATTGATTCGAAAGATTAATACTACGCATTATAATTTTAGGTTTCACACACTATATGGTCAGGATGTCATCGACACTGCGTTCGCACACGTGAGTTTTTCGCGAGACCCGAGCGTGGCGCGATGCTCCGCGGCGGGGTGGGGGGAGAGAGCAGCGACGCTGCAAGTGCGCGCGCGCTCCGATACGACGACGCATTCCTATCTCGAGCGTCCGAGGCTGCTGATCGCGCTGGAGAGAGATTTTTCGTTTGCTCGTGCACGATCGCGTGCGATCGTTTGTATTATAATTATTGTCGAATACATTCCGATGAATTTCTTCGATTCGATGAACACGATCGATTGTTGGAACAATAACTGCATCGATTTCAACGCACTAGTACGACTCCTTATGTTTTTGATGATTTAACAATTATTCTTTTTTCCTCGTAATTTGCTACCATCCGAGGTGGTTTTTTGAACAGCAGTGTTGTAGCTCAATACTCATTTACGTACGTGCATTTCAGTTCAACGAGGCGATGGACAATCATCATCTGCGCTACAACTCGCCGTCGCCGATACCGCCCCGGCGCCGCCGAGTGGGAGACGTGATCGACTGTATGGGCAGCACCGCGGCCTCGCCGGCGACGCCTTATTCCGCGGTCTCGTCTTCGCTGCATCCGTCCGACTTGGCGTCGCCGTCCGCCGCGAGCAGCACCGGCTTTTTGACGCCGCAGCGCCAATACAATCTGCGCTCGTGCAGCACCTGGCCCCACCTGACCGTGAGTACATAACGAGTATAGTGCACGCCTACTCGAATCTTCATTGGTTCATTGCGGTTTGTTGTTTGCGTTATCGACGATTCATTGCTTTTGGTATTTTCTTTGCAGACCTCGCCGGATTTGGGCTACTCCACACCGGAGAACAGAAAATCATACGCGCCCGATTGGGCCTTCAAGAACCACGACACTCACGACGCCTTCGGCTTCGTCGACGAAGATAATTATGCATTGTAAATTCCACAGTAACTATGTGTTCTAATTAGCATACGATTCTCTAATACATTCAACTAATCAACGAGCAAATTATTGAGACTTTGATTTTTGTTTTTGTCTAGCCAACAAGATGAAGCCATGGGGCAAATGGCGGCGCACAAGGATGCCGACAGGTACAACATGGAGCACATGTATCGCGGCAGATGTGTTATCTTCAATCACGAGCACTTCGACACGGGCTTCGCCGCGCGTGACGGATCCAGCGCCGACGCGCGCCGAATAGAGCAGACTTTCCAGCGACTCGGTTTTAGCGTGGATATATGCGACGATTACGAGCACAGCGGCATTATCAGCAAAATAAGTGAACGTAATATCATCAATAGTATATAATCATTTGATTTTTGAGGTAGATCCATTTTTCTATCTCTTTTCTCATTGTTTCAGTTGCTGCCGAGGATCATACCAATAATGATTGTATTTGTATTTTTGTTTTGACTCACGGCCTGAAGAATGACTTGATCTGTGCCAAAAATGTAGTATACAAAATAGATGATCTGTGGAAACCGTTTACGGCAGATAAATGTAAATCTCTGGCTGGAAAACCAAAATTATTTTTCTTCCAGGTAAGGACACGATAAATACATGATAATTAACATTTCATTGGAAAGATTATGGCTAAATTACTTCTTCTGTTAACAGGCCTGCCGAGGTGATGATATTGATGCAGGAATAAAATTGCAATCGAATATGTCCATACACAGCCGTTCACCGACTGAAACAGATTCTACAACTGCGTCGTACAAAATTCCAACGCATGCCGATTTCTTGTTCGCTCATAGCACTGTACAAGGTGAGTTTTTGTTTAATTTTGTTCCAAATATAAAAGAAGCAGATATTCAAAAGAGATGATGTTTCAGGATTTTTTTCATGGCGAAATCCAGAAGAAGGTACCTGGTACATTCAAAGTTTATGTGAAATAATAGATACGTACTCGGCCACCACCGATCTAGCCAAGATGTTAACAATGGTGGCCCGAAAAGTTGCCACCGATTACGCTAGTTTTAATAATATAGATCCAACGATGCACGATAAAAAGCAAGTGCCTTCTGTTACTTCAATGTTAATTCGAGATCTATATTTCACATCAAAACATTACTAATTGTTTGCAACGAAAACATTTTGTAAAAAATTATTTTATTAATGAATTGTTAAAAGTTTGCCAAGCAAACTTTAAGATTATTTTTGTATAAGTATTCCACGATAAAAAGAATTTTCTAGCGGAAAAGCTTTTGCGAGATGAAGAATTCAAAGCTTTTTCTAAATGAACTATTATATTTATACTTAAAAATGTGATATAAGATGCTAAATAGCATGATTTTCTATTTATTCGGAGTGTTAAGAGTTCTAAAGATGCAACAATCAATTTTTGCTTCTTGAAACTTGTTAAAAAATTTTTCATTGAAGTATTTCTGTTCTAAATATTTGCAAGATTTTAAAAATCAATATATTAATGATTCAAATCAATTCGAATATTAAAAATTGTTTCGAAGTTTATAAATTAATATGAAACAGAAATTTATATTATTAATAAAATTATTTAGAATTTTTCTATAAAAAAAATTTAATTTTTTTGTTCAAGACAGCAATGATTGTTTTCTTATGAAATGAAATTATATAAAATTTTTATTTTTTTTTGTATCAATTTGTATGTTATCACTATCGATTGTCGAATGCGAATGCGAAAGTTGTAAGAATCAAATATTTCGATAAGTTGTCGTTATAATAATATCAAAATGTGTACAATATGTACTATTTTGTACCCATGTACTTAACGAATAAATTGTTAATTTTATTTTGAATCAATTGATGCTTATTTTAATTGTATTTTTCAAATATTCGTAACTAAATGCGAAGAAACAAATGAATAATGTGCCATTGTAAACACAAAATTGTAGCCTTATTTTTTATCATGGAGTGAATGTATTTGTATGCAATGTTAACAAAATTCTTAGTTAATTTTTTATTAAATAAGTTATAACGCGTCAATTATTGAAATCTCTGTCGTTTAAAAATTAAATAATCCATGAGAACCGTAAAAGAATTGAAATTCGTTAGCTTCGGCTCCAACGAGACTCCGGAAGCGGATAACCAGCCTGAACAAAAAGATGCCTCGTGTCAATGCTCGAAAAGCAATAATGATAAAAAAACGAAAGGAAAAAAGTAACGTAAAAATGAATGTGGAATTTTATGTATAATCCTCTCTATGAATATATTTATCAAAGGGGTTGCGGTGCTAACAGTGGGCCGTGCGCAGCAGATCAAAGCATCAAGGGTCGTTTACGAGATCTTCTGAATTCAAAAGACGACGCAAACGACGAAGAAGAGGAAAATAGCGATAGCCCGGAAGAGAAAGCGCTTTATTACAAGTGTAATTACTCAAAAAGCAATTATCAGTTCGAAGTAACAGAAAAAATATTTGTTAATTAAAATTTGTTAAATTATTTTAGACTCTCCGCAAGTAGTAAACACCAAACGAAGACTTCCGAGACTGTTCAAAACTTTTGCCCATCAATCGCTGGAGCAGAATGGAAAAACAGAAGACAGAAAAAGAAGGAAGTACTTCGCGCAATTTTGAAGTCGAGCAAAAGGTATTGGAAGAGAAAGTATACTTAAGAATTTTAAGAAAACTTCAGCTTAACGAGCATTTATTTTTGCTCAATACAGAAACCAAGAGGATGCAGATGCCGTGGAGGAACGACTAGATACGTGCAAAGTTTGCGTAAACCAGACGAAAAAATTGACGATGCGGTCGACAACGACCCAGCAAGCTCGAGAAATGCTTTTCAACGCATTGCAGATCGATTTCGTTTCTCTAGACAAACTGACGATGAATCGAGCCATTCAAGATTGAGAAAATTTTCCGATACGCTATTTTTATCCTGCATCAAGCCCAATTACACCGCAAGAGATTATGAAATTCCATGCGGGTGCAAGCATTACAGCAGTTTTCTCCCAAAATGAAACTTAAGCAACTTTACGGCGTCAGTGTTTACTCGAGGAATTTCTGTACAGTCGACCGCAGTTCATATGAAAATCGTTCGATGTCACAGGAGGCATCCTACAAGCTCGAGTGAGCGCCCCCTGCCGAGGATGGAGCTGTTCGGGATAACTGGTTTATCACAACTTCCGAATAGATTTTTCTTTTATCTACAAAATCTTCCGCAAAACTCGCAAAGGATTCGTAATTCAACCAAGAAATTATTTTAACTTTATGTTAAATAATCAATTGTGAGTAAATATACATGTGTACTTTTGATATAATTGAAACACATTCATGATTGCACTAAATAATAACGATAATACTTTCATCTCTTTTTCACAAAAAATTTCATTTTCCTTTAGTACTCGAGTGTACGAATTTTCTTTTGCATACATACAGGCGAAGTATATACTTCGCCTTCGCAGCTTATGCTCCCAATTTCGCGTTGTTTAGTTTGAATATTTCTGTGCGTGCAGTAGTGTTAGTAGTCAGGAGGCACAAAAACTAGCTCTCCGCGCCCGGTGCTTTTCTGCTCTTTCTCTCTCCTGTGCGGGATTCGTGTGCTTTTACACGCCCACTACACATTCGCGTCTATATATTATTTTGTATGTTCTATAATAACGCGAAAGAGAGAGAGAGAGAAATGAAATTTCTTTCTTGCCGGCGCGTATTGTAAGAACTCTGCACTTCGCAGCCTTGCCCGCTTTGTAGACATCGTAATCTTTTTTTTCTCTCCTCCATACTTTTACCCGTTTTTGCTCTCACCCCCCAAGAGCCTCCTAGGCTTCCTTTTTTAGGCGAATTTCATGGACCCCGCTGCTACTGCTACGAAAAAAAGGGCCGAGTACTTTTGTGAAAATCTAATAAACTTTGCACAACCTTATATTACATAACTCGAAGTATACTTCAGAAAAACATTTTTGAGAAATCATATTTTACAGACTCGAAGCTATCTCTCGCTCTCTCTTTTTCCTCGTTCAAATCTTTCGCAAATCTTTTTGTAAAACAAGTGAGTTATACTCGAAAAATGCACCTATATCCAAAACATTTCTCGTTCGTATCGTGTATCTCGATCGAATCCGTTGCACAAAAAAAGCTCGAAACTAAATCATGAATGGACGATGAACTTTGCAAATGTGTATACGCGTACTGCCAGAGGCACACAAAGCGCAATGTACAGGATCCTATAATATAACTATACAATTTGTTCGGGATAGAATTCAATCGACTCTCGCTGTTCGGTGGAAAATCCGCGGATAAACCTCTGATCTTTCTCATTCTCTCTCTCTTTCTCTCGTATAATATATATATATAGCTACGATTCCCAGCCAAAAAACAAGTTGCCTGGCTCCCGGCCAGTCCTCTATACCCTGCACACATGCATGTGTTGTACGTTACGTATATATCCGAGAGAGAGACGACGACGACAACGACTTTATCGTGCTCAGGTGGTTACGAGTCGCAAAAGGATGGCAGGAATACGCATCGCGCGAATTGTCGTAAAATATCGTTGTATGATCCTGCGCGCGAGCCGGATTGCTCGATACGAACGCGATTTTTTACACGCTCTAAGGATACAGAAAATTGTGTCTGTGAAATGCCAGCACATACTCTCGATCAAGTTTAAGTTGTCGCAGTCGAGTGGAAGGCAAGGAAAAACATTATAATTCATCGGTACGCGCGCGACGACGAATCATCTGTATGGATTTTAAATTTTCACAAGAACACTCCTGCTAATGAATGAATCGCTTGGTGCGCGCTCGCTCGCGCGGGAGTAATGAAACTTTTGCGCAAAGTTCCACCACCCGTTCCTGCACACGATCCGCCTCGAGTCGAGGAGTTTTATTTGTTCTCATTATTATTTTTTTTACTTTTTTGCTTTGCATATAGTTATAAACACGTTGTCACTCTGAATTTGCCCGAGAGAGGGTAAGAAAGAGAGTGACGCAAGTGGCACCGCATTTTAAGTTTATAACGAAACTATATATAGGTGTAGTACATACGCTGTCGAGAATAGTTTAAAATTTGTTATAGTTCGCGCGCTTCTCTTGTTCCCGCACGCACACACACACACACACACACACACCCAACTCTCTCGAATAAACTCGCGCTCGCTCGTTCGCGAGTACACAATCGCGTGTACTCGACAGTGCTTCATTATTCAAATAGTATATAGCGTATGATAGATATAGAAATGGGAGTGCAGCCGCGGGGGCTCGCGCGTATCGGAGCGAAGATTTGCCCCCCGTACACAGGAAAATATACGTTTAATCCCTTTCGTACAAGATTTAGGCAGTCGAGTCAGGTACATCTTACTTAATCCTGCTGGTCGAATCATCGGCTTGAAAATCTCGAGATTTTTCTTCAAAATCTTCTCTCTCTCTTTCTCTCTCAGCGACCGAGAACCCGCGTTAGGGCGTATAATCTCTTTCTCAAACTCTTCTCTCTATCTCTCTCTTTCTGTGAGCAGTAGCACCCCCAGACTCCGATCCGTCCGGCGTAAGCGTCGGCTACACGAGACTCTGTGTATCTATATCCGTGCGCGTGGTAAAGTTTGTTGACCAACGATAATCTGTAAAAATAAATCGGCAAAAATGTGCCGCGCAGCAAGAACGAAAAACCTCTCTCTTTCTCTCTTACTCCCCTAGAGAGAGAGAGAGAGAGAGCAGCCCCACGATGTAGGAGGTAAATTACAACAGGGCTCTGCGAAGCGAGCGAAACGCGGTACGGTACTACATATCCCATATATACCTATGTGCTGCTGCTGGCTGCACTGTACGGAGCAAGCGAGTGTAAACGTGTAAACGTGTGCGGGGCGTGTGCGGCGAAGAGCACAGAGCAGCATAGAGAGAGAAAGCACAGCAGCCGGCAGCAGCAGCAGCAGCAGAAAACGGATCAATAACCGGTGCCTGTGTGTATATGTGCTGCTGCCGTTGCCGCTGCTGCTGCTGCTGCTGCTGCTGCGCGCCCCCCACGTGCCGAGATCGCGCCCTCGCAGCATCCCTATATAGCCTTTTAGCCTCTCTCTCGCTCTCATCTGCTTCTGCCGCTGCCGTTGCATACGAGTGTGTGTGTGTATACGTGTATGCGCTGCGCGCTCGGAAGCAGCGGCGGCAGCCAGCAACCCCCTCGGCATTTTCACATAGTGACTCGACGAGAGGGACGACTCTTCTCTCTTTCTCTCCGGTAGCTGTTTCTCTCTCTTTCTCTCTGTGCTGCTGCTGCTGCTGCTGCTGTGTGCATGCACGACGACGACGACTGCGAGAGAGACGACGATCCGCGCCAGTAACGCGCATCGCCTCGACACGGATACAACTTTTCATCCGCCGCTACTCGCGAGCTTATACACTTCATCTCGCCAATTTATCGTTGTATCGTTGACTTTTTTTTTTTTTTTTTTTTGATCTCGTGATCTTGTATCCTTTGTGAGTCGTACAGCACGCTCGCACGATTGGAACAGTTTACGTGCGGAAGTAAGATTAATTTTGAAACATGAATTGTTGTTGAGTGCGTGAGAGAGTTTGCGGAGTCAAGTTCAAGACGCGCCTGGCGGCGGCAGCCCTTCGACGATACGACAAAAGGTGATTATTATAAGGCGAAGCTCTCTTGATCGGAGCTTCTCTTCAACCTCGTCGTAAAGCTCGCTCTTACAAACGCGTAAAGATACATTAGAAGAGGAGAGAGGAGCGACGTAGTAGTATGTCATGCCTTGTATACACACTGTGCGGCGGCATCGTGTTGTTATATATACACTACCTACGCGCGCGTGAATTGATGCACAAGAGACGCGCGTGTCTGCCCGCGCCAACTGGATTCTACATAGAAAATCTCTGCTCTCGACTCTGCGACGTGCGCGCGTTTATTTACTCATTAGAGAATTTTCATCCTCGTACACACGGCAGGTCCTGTACGCGATGTTATTTAGTGACACGGATTATTCGTGCGCTCGTCGATAATTCGCTCAGCTCCCTTGTATAGTACAGGCCCCTCCGTGTGTCGCACCGCACGAACGCGATCGAAATTACAATGCGCGCGCCCGAAAATGCGTAATCTTTATCGCATACAACTGTGCGTGGGTGTGCAGCGGCGTTTATCCCCCTATATAGCTCGAAAATGTCTGTCTATGTGTGTGCGTGTGTGTGTGTGTGTGTGTGTGTGTGTGTGTGTGTGTGTAGCGGTCGACGCCGCGATGTACATACGCGATCGATTATTTTCATTTACTCGACTGATTTAAATCCGAAGCGCAACGATGTTAATATAATGATGATAAAGCCGCAGCCGCGGTGTGCGACTCGCGGAAATATTCATGTACGTATCGCGCATGGTTTATTTTCAGCTGTATACATACTCGGCCAACGTGTGCGCGGCCGCATTTTCATAATATATATAAATTTCCAATTTCATTTATATGTATCATATATAATATTGTTCGCGCGCGCTTTATATATAGTCAATAATGCACAATGCCGCGCGAGTAAGAGACTATAAGGGAGGGCAAATAAATTTTCCAAGCACCTTTCTAATGGCAGAGCTTGCGGCAGCAGCCACAGCACAGCAGCCGAGAGTATTAATTTTTTACTTTTCAATAGCTGCTGCTGCTGCAGCAGTAAGCAGTTGTACCGCCAGACAGACGATTAATTACCTTTCATAATGTACCGTGTACTTTCCTTCCTCGACGCGATTAATTGCTGAGCGCGCGCGAGCGAGCGAGCGAGCGAGCTTACGGGCCTTTTGTTCGCGAGCAGCGCATGCAGCATTATTATACAGCGTATATAACACACGTGTGCGAGCAGAGTGTATAACGCGCGGGAGAGGCCGCGAAAAAAATGAGACATCGTCATTCTTTTTCTCTCTTCTCTTTTTTACCCCGAGAGATAGAGTCAGAGAGAGAGAGAGAGAGAGAGAAACGCAGAGAATCATCGCGAGCGCGGAACAGCAGCATAGGGAAGATTTTCGTCGACTGCACAGGTGGAGCGCGCGCTGAAAATCCGTGCGCGCGCGGGCGTCCTTTATTTATTTATCTGTTTTTTTCCTCTCTCGCTCCGTTTTTCATTACAATGGCCCACAGTCAGGCTCTCTGATTCGGTACGAGCAAATCAAGCTAAAATTTTAATGCCGAGTAAACAAGGCGCTCGCGCGCGCGCACGGATGATAAACAAAAGAAAAATCTTTTTCACCCTACGCCTCTTGCCGCTGAAAAGTAACACCGCGCGTCAATGGAACACTCCAATTAAGTTAGCTCTCGAGTGGCGTGCACACACGTACACATTCACGTATGCACACAAAACACACGTATACTAGCGAAAAAGCTCGTGTGCCGTGCGCGCGCGGTCATTTGCCTAACTCAATCTTCTCCTTCTCCTCTCGCTTTGCACATTTCATTTTGACTTGATCTCGTAATTTTCTTACATATCCTTTTTTTTAAATAACGTTATATATAAACGAAGTTATCTGTTTGCACATTTTCATGTATGCAGCGCCTGGGGGAAGAAGATCGAGGACTGAGACAGGAGAGAAAGAGATCAAGCGAGCAATGACGACGAAGGCAAAACTGTTCCAGGCGGGCTGAGAGCTTTTTTTCGGTGGGTGGAAAATGCATACGTCGAACTGAATTGTGCGCTCGCTCAAGAGAGAAAAAGAGAGAGTATGGGATCAATTGGCCACGGCGCTCGACTGTGAAAGTTATGAGGCGAAGTTACACACACAGCCGACGCGGATAAGCCTCACAGGTGAGTGTATAGCTTTTTTCATTTTCATCGTTTCGTTTTCGTACGTTTTTCGATATACGCGGCTGTACACGCTTTGCGCACGTGAGTTGCGCACTTTGTCTTTTTTTTCAATTCGTCGTTATTTCATTTATAATGATAACGACGTTGAGATAGAACGATACGTAGGCACGTCTCGTCATCTGGCGAAGCTTATGTACCTATTTCATTGTTTCAATGTCGCGCGCAACGTACACTACTTCTAGCTATTTTCTTTTTTTAAATAAAAATTCCTCAAAAGCCGATAAATACGTATCAACGGTACACAAGTTAAAAGGTCACAGTACTGTAGTTCACGGCTGTATCGACGTTACAAAGCTCGCTGTTTTATAAATAAAAAAAGCAACAACAACAACGACAACGACAAAGGTTGAAGAAAAAAAAATCATCGCGAATATTTTCCAATCGTTCAACAAAAACAAACGAGAAAGAGAGAAAAGCCGCTCAGGATTTTATACCCGTGGAGCTTGCGGCGTAGAGCTTGCAATTAAAAATGACGCAGATTCCTCTTTCGCTCGCTCTCTACACGTTGTTGTGTCCGTTCGTGTTTATACACAAAGATTTACAAGGCGCAAATAAGTACTGTAAAACCATAAAGGTACGTGCCTCGCTGGAGTGTACGGCATACTCGCGTTATATGGGTGGCGAGGGGTGAGAAAAGATATAGTCTCGGCTAACGGTATGCTCTTGTATTATATCTAGTATATAAGTTGGAGGTCGTTGTTGGATACTGTACCATCGTGCCTCGTCTCTCTATGCTATTACCTGGAACGCTGAGCAGAGACAAAACGTACGCTCGAGTAATGCAGATCGTGCATCTATATATTATACATGTATATTAAAAGCGTGGAAAGCCTCTCCAGAGAGCCGTACGCTCTTACCATACCAATTACTATCCACTACTACTGCTACTACTACTACTACTACTACTACTACCAGCGCTTCTATATAGATAATACGATTCGAGAGGTTGCAGTGATCGATATATGCGACGTAAGGCCTCGCACAGGCAATATCTTCCTTTTGGATTACGTCGACCTACAATACAAGCCTATGGGTCTTTGTGATCGTGTACGCCTTTGCCGCTGCAGCCCAGCTCTTAGTTGGTCCGGAATCGGCCTCGATAAACTGATTATAATAATATACATTTCGAGGAAAGGATAAATGACGCACAAGGAGCCTTGCAAGGTCTTATACAAGAGAATTATGATAAAATTATATAAAATCAAGCAACGTACGGAAATAAATGGATGATCGAAGAGCCGAGAAAGAAGGAAGATCTACACTTGCGGTATTTTCAGAGTCTTTTGACACGAACGAAAAAAGAAGGAGCATACAAGGGAGAAAAGCGCGGCGGAAAAAGAAGATGTTGGCGCTCGTCGCAAAAGCTCAAAGAAGCTCGCTCGCCGCAGCTATCAGATATTTAAGGAACTCGACGAGGATGAGTTGATTGTGTAGATATAAATATGATTACAAAGAGAGATGATATTACAAACGAATCGTATCCTCCACGGAGGTTGCGCTTCGAAAATCGATCGAGAGATATTGTATTTTAGCGCCCTGGCAGCTAGCCCCGAAATCAACGATATATATAATATACGGTTTATATTTATGACTCGCGGGAGAGTATAGATTTTGGCCAGTGCAATAAGTTCGAACGATAACGAGCTTTATCGAGCGAAAGAATTAGATCGTTGCGGATTTTCTCCGATACAACGAGATCTCTCGGCCCGCGCGAAATAATTCCCTGTTTTTGCCGAATTACGCACATCCACCGTATTATTATAGATTCGCGCATTGGCTTGCCCGCATAAAAGTAACGTTTTTTACAGTTCTCTATCGCGTCCAGACACGAGAGAATCGAAACTCTATTGTATTCGATGCGCGTATATGTGTGTGTTAGGAAAAAACGTGAATCAGAATGGAACGAATCGGCCAACTATCCGTGCCGAGGTGTGGCTTCTCTCACTCCCATTTTTAATATTGAAAAACAAGCGCTTCTCATAAATCATTCTTGAACTCGATCACTCATCGCGTTATCACGAATTTAAAAACTCGTGCCCAATGTTCTGACGGCTATCTACCCCAATTCAACGACCAATCACAACACGTTTATTTCGAAAACGCATTCAATCCACTGTTTTTTTTTAAGTAAAAAAATTTTGATGTATTTTGTAAAATCATCGACGCAACCGTTCTAACAGTTTTTTGTATTGTATCAGTGTTTTTTGTATTACATCACTGCTTTCAGAAATATAGTTCTAATCTGTGTGAATGTTTCACTACATATATCGCACATAAGAAGCGTCATTTAATTGGGCGCCTGTATGAATGACAATTTTCATTGCAATTTCGGTGTGGTTTCAATGGCAAGCGAGTGCCTCTATTGTATCGCAGTACATTACTGCCTATGACCAGTCAACAGTAGAGGGAGAAAGTATCGCCAAAGAGCTATCATAATCGCGGGGTCACCCCGCTAATATCCTGCAGTAAGCAAGTGTTTACAAAGTGATGAATTAGCGATACAGACTACAGTGTTGGCTACCTCGAGGCACATAACCTCGAATAATTTCTCAGTGCAAATCGTGAAAATTTATAGTGATTACATAAAATAGAGCAAGAAATGGAAAGCAAAGAGGGCAAAATTAGGTATTAATTTTTTTTCCATTCAATGATATTTTTTCAAGCGATCACATCATCAAACTTAATTATTCTTTAGGGTGAAAGATGAACCGAATGATGCTTGGTCGGTCGTAGACGACGATTATATTAACTCGGTGGACTCTTGTGAAGCCAATAAATTTGAAACAATCAAGTTTCATAAATCATCGGTGAGTTGAATAGTTTGAATTGTGTTCTTGTTTTCCAGTATCAAAAGCTTTTACGTAATTTTAATTTTAGGCAAATCACACGAACGAGGGTAGGGCGTTACAGGAAAAGCTAGACGAAAAAATATTCGTAGATATCGAGTGCAAAGATGTTAAATTATTTTCAATGGACATCTGTAAATCAGAGCATCCAAATTTTCAACCTGTCGTAAAAATGGAAAACGAAAATCAGACCAATGACATGAATGAAAATATATTCATTGATTTTGAGTGCAAAGATGTTAAAACTGAACTACCGTCTTTATCGATAACCATCTACAAAACTGAGCATCAAAGTTATCCGTCAGTAATGAAAGTAGAAAACCACATTCAGATCTTAAACGATAAGGATTCGACGATTTTGGTTAAAAAAGAATTCGATAACGATAACAACAGTTCATTTCAAGAAAAGGCCCGATTGAAGCTTAACGAATCTGGCGAGGTAAAAATATGTGAAATAAGAACTCCGAACAAATCATCTCATAAGGAAAATTTGTGTAGGAAGATTTATAAAGGAAATACGTATCTAACTACTTATATTAATTCGACACACAAAAGTATTAGACAATATGAATGTGAGATTTGTCTCAAATTATATAGTCGCAAGGATAACCTCAAAAGTCACATTAATATAGTACACAATCGGAAGAAACCCTTTGAATGTGAAATTTGTCTCAAATCGTTTGGACAAAAAACATACCTCAAATCTCATATAAATGTAGTACACAATCAGAGCAAACCTTTTGAATGTGAGATTTGTCACCAATTATTCGGACTAAAATGTAACCTTAAAATACACATAAACTCAGTTCATGCTCGAAGTAGACCCTTCGAATGTGATATTTGTCACAAATCATTTGGATTACAAACTCATCTCAAAAGGCACATAAATGCAGTGCATACTCGTAGGAAACCATTTGAATGTGAAATTTGTCACAAATCATTTGGACAAAAGTGTGACCTCAAGCGTCATGTGAATGGAGCACATGATTGTATAAAACCCTTCGAATGTGAAATTTGTCACAAATCATTTGGAGTACAACGACATCTCACAGTTCATATAAAACAAGTACACGATCGAAGCAAATCCTTTGAATGTAATATTTGTTGTAAATCTTTTGGAGATAAACATCATCTCAAATCTCACATAACTGCAGTACACGATCATAGCAAACCCTTCGAATGCGATATTTGTCGCAAATCATTTGGACAAAAAGGTACCCTTAAACATCACAAAGATGCAGTACATAATCGGAGCAAACCTTTTGAATGTGATATTTGTTACAAATCATTTTCATACAAAAGTGACCTCAGTAAGCACGTACGTACAGTACATGATCGTATCAAACCCTTCGAATGTGAAATTTGTCACAAATCATTTCTATTCAAGAGCCATCTCAATATACACGTAAAAACAGTACATAATCTTCTCAAACCCTTCGAATGTGAAATTTGTCGCAAATCATTTGGACAAAAAAGTCAACTCAAACCTCATATAAATTCAGTGCATAATCGTATGAAACCCTTTGAATGTAATATTTGTCACAAATCATTTGAACAACAAATGCATCTCAAAAGGCACATAAATATAGTACATGATCAGAGCAAACCCTTCGTATGCGATATTTGTTTCAAATCATTTGGGTACAAAATTTATCTCAATAACCACATAAATGATGTACATAATCGTAGCAAACTCTTTGAACATGATATCTGCCATAAATCATTTGATTAAGAAGGTACTCAGAAATCTCATATAAATGCAGTACATGATTAAAGTTAACTCTAGGAGTGAGTGATTTGTTCCAAGACTCATTTAAGCTTGATGTAGATTTTTAGACTCACATGTGTACGATATGAAATTTAAGAGATACTTTGAGGCAAATATTCTTCAATTTCGTAAAGAACAATAAAGTATTACAATCTGTTATTAATTTTGTTAGATTGTATAAAACCTTCCTTTCACTTTCTTTTCATGAATAAAAAAATATAAACAATATTTCTCAAGTACCTATTCCCCTTATTGTTATACCGCGAAGCAAAATTCATTCTTAAACTTCACACTCTAATCCCCACGACTGATTATCATTATTGCTC